TCCTGCTCTAGCTTTGCTGTCACATATCCATCTGTAGGTCACTTCAGTCACTGTACTGAACACAGCTTTTCCTTTGTACTGCATCGCTTTACTTACAGTCAGCTTTCCCATAGCTGAAGAATTAAGTCTTGAAGAACTAGTTAAGGAAATCATTAGAACTAAACAATTGTCATCATATAAAGTGATGAGTATTTTTTTGATGTCCAGGATTTTCTTGTACCCTAATTACCACTGAATTGTAAGGACTCTATGAGAGCTCTCTCTCTCAAAAAAAAAAAAGGGGGTTTAGTAGGCTTTGTAACTTTTCAATAGCTCTAGCATCTTCTGATCAATGCAGTTGTTAGGAGATCCTAGAGTGGATGCTTCCTTCCCCCCTGTACATTCCACTCCTCCTACGTTCCCTTTACCACATACTTTCTCTTGTCTCACTTCCAAGAGTGGCTTGCAGTTAAATTCTGGCCCTGTTGAAGTTGATGAGAATCGTGCTTTGTTGGAGCCAAGAGTCAACTTAAATGGTTTTCTTACTCTGGTTCTTGTCTAGATGCCATCTTGCTACTGTCGCTTCATGCGTAAAGCTAATGGGGCTGACGTTGCATCTCAAACTATGTCAGAGAGCTATTGTAAATTACTGGTATCAGTTGCATATGAATTCCAGTCGGGCATAAGAGACTTCAGCACAATGTAAACCAAGCCATAGCTGGAAGTTTCTGAAACAAAGACTTTCAAAAATAACTGTGGTGTCCTTGGCCACCCAAACTGCTTAGAGGAGTCTGGGCTTTTTTTGTCGTTGTTTGCTTCCTGATGCTGCATAGTTATAATTTCCAGAAATTGGAGCACTGAAAAGCAAAGGTGGGCAGTCAAAATAGCTAATTTCCCTGTGCCTAAAACCTTTGATACAGTTGCCCACTGAATAAAAAGACAGATTAATAGCTTTGAAGTGTAGCCACAGAAAGCGAATGAGACCAAAAAACTGACAGCAGAGTGCAGAGTGGAAGCTAAAGATGGACAGAAAGCCTCTCTCTTCCACTTCATCAATTTCTAATTGGTTCATGTTTCCTCTAACCTTTCTATCAAAGCCTGGGATTCTGAGTCAGAAGATGTCAGGGAAGTTAGGAAGATCGCTTTCTCTCAAGCCTGGCTGACTGCTGCTTTTTATTTACTTAATCAGTCTGCTGTTTGGGGATTGCTTACTATAAAACTTAAAACACTGTTGGTGCGGGCTAAGAATGGAAGAGTTGTTGCAATGCCTTCCCTGAAGTCTGGGTCAGCACACTTGTGTAAGTGCATACTGACAGGTGGGAATAGGGAAGGGTGGAGAAATTTTTGTACAAGAAGGAACACGCCAATACTTCATTGTGAAAACTGGGTGATGGCTAATGGAAAGGGATCTTAAGTTTGTGAGACCTTACTTGAATTTAAATGTATGGTGGTAGCTTTATAACGTGTATCAAATTAAAGGCATTTTAGCCATGATCCAAAGTGAAATCGCAGCTGGTTTTCATCTGAGCCCTTAAAAAAATAAAGTCCAGTGGACTAATAAGGATGTTTCCATTTGAGTTCAGCCTGTGGTTAAGGGCTCAAAAGAGCCGGTGGCTGAAGTGAGATGTCATAGACGTACAGCAAGGACGTGCTTCCTAATGAGCTGGCAGATAGGGGAAGAATGATAGAGCAGAGGCAAGAGGAAAGATCTCTTTTCCAAGGCGATTGTTTTTCTGGTGCCAAGGACTGAAATAGCTGTCAGTGGTATGTTCCCAACAGGGAACAGGAAAAGACTGGAAAAGCAAGAGAGAGTGTGTGTGTGGAGGCGGGGGGCAGTTTGCAAAACTAAATTGAGTGTCATTCCCCTTTTCTTCTGCCACTTACAGGAGAAAAGGGTAGAGTTGTTTTACGCACAAGAAACAGGATGTCTTTATGCACAGACTCGGTATTTGGGGAAATGCATTTGCTTTCCAACTGTGCTGTAGATCGGGGTGTAATCTTGGCAAGTGCAGCAAAGCCATCTCCAGCACGCATGAGTGGAACTATAATCGCTTGACTAGCCCCATTCAAGGCGAACAGATATGCATCTGCTTAAGTACCTCTTAGAATTAGTCAGTAATCTTGTTGATGAGATCTAAGAGCCTTACACCTGCACAGTACAGGACATGATATTGCTCTGGATATACCAGTATGGAAAAGTCCTTAGGCATCTACATTACTCGTGAATGGGATTCAAATTAATAAAGGCCTGCATGCATTTGAAAGTCTTACACATAGATGTGGGGTTGGGGGCTTAGTGCCAATGAATAATAAAAACTGATTTAAATGGAAAATATTATAGAACCAGAAATACCAGAAGGTGAATAAGAAGTTGTTGCCCTTAATTTCACACTGTAAACACTTAATGAATGCCGTAGTCTCAAGCCAAAAATACCCCCAAAAATAGGTAAATGCTTACAATGTCTGTGTATTGACACTCTTCTGTGATTGTGCAGCAAGTGCTTTGACTTAACTTTATTCAAACCTGCAGACAAGCAGGCAGGATCTAGTGGTGAATTGATAATGGGTATCTGAGGCTTGAGAAGCCTGCTTGGAAGTTCTTTTTGAAAGCTACAAATCAAAGGTCCTTAGCAATACATTTAAAAGTATTTTAGATGGAAAAACTGCCCGTGTGTCATTGTAAGCTTTATGTAGCAACTTCATTAGTCTTCAACTCTACTTTATGTAAAATCCCCAAACTTTCTTTTGTAATTGTTGGAAGAACAAGCTGAACATAAGTACATTTTAATTCTTAACGCTCAAATGTGCCAGTACTTCACACGCTGTTTTTTAACACATCATTGGCAAACTGCCCTTCTACCTAAAATTCTTCTGTCGCTGGATTATGCTCCCGTACACAGAACAGTGTAACCTGGTACTTATTTTTGTTTTTGTACTATGTCTGCAAGGATATTTTGGCTGTTTTATGATAAACTTTCACTCGGCTGCCGTCAAGTGCTTGCTAGCAGCAGGTTGTAAGGCAGTGTCAGATCATTTAAGTCACGAGACCTGGACTACAAAGTGAAATACCACAGATATATACAATGTTCCAAGCTAATGTGAAATATTATTATTTCAAGCCATAATTTAGACAGTTCTAGGGCTCTAAAGCCAGAAGACTTTTGCTGGAACTAAATGTCAAGTACAAAGTCTAAACTTTGAAATGCTATATAGAGAGAAGGGGGATCTATAGCACATATATGCAGTAATTTGAGTTCTCTGCGTCAGGCGCTGGTAGTCTTGAATTTTTAGCGTCAGCTAACATCTGAAGAGAGAACTTCCATGGTATTTCTCAGCCAAAACCTGGTGAGATCACTGATGTCTTCTGAATGCCAGAGTTGCTAGTTTTCAGTTTAGTGTTTACACCAGTGTCCCAGAAGACTGCAAACCTTTTGTGGTGCTTATGTTCAGTTTGTAGATATTGCTTTATTAGGCTATTGTAGTATGATGTTTTCGTAAATATTCCAGTTAAAAACAAAACTGGAGAAGCCTGAAAAACCACATTATGTACCAATCTATTGGAGCTAGAAGTAAAAGCAGCTGAATTTTCTTTAATCACAAACTGTATGATTCTTATTGGATGTCCTTACAGTGCAAAAGAGATAAGTGATTGGCGGTAACCTAACAGTCCCTTTTGATTTCAAGCTTTGTTCAGTTTGATAATGCTGCATGTGTGTTTCGGTTAATGGTTTGTAGCTCCAGGGCAGCCTTATCTTACCCTCTAAAACAGAAAATTAATAAAACCAACTGGCTGCCTCAGAGAGTCTTGCCTGCAAAGCTAGAGAGCTGTGATGGTGGGAGGTAATGATACCCAAAATGATATCTAAATGAAGCTTTAACTCTGACATCTCCTCTGACTTCTAGATCCCGATCGCATTATTGAGAAGGCATCCCACTCTGGCATGATCAATCCAAGCCGTCAGTGGCAAACTTTGAAACATAATGCAGGAGTTGCTCACTTTGAGTATCAAATCCGTGTGACTTGTGCAGAACATTATTACGGCTTTGGCTGCAACAAGTTTTGTCGACCAAGAGATGACTTCTTCACTCACCATACCTGTGACCAGAATGGCAACAAAACCTGCTTGGAAGGCTGGATGGGACCAGAATGCAACAAAGGTTTGTGACGAATGCTCCACCCCCAAATGAGCAGCAGGCTTGGGTAGGATTTGGGCACATCGTATCCGGGTTGCAATTCAGTGGTCAGTTTGTGCAGACAACAGGGCTGAGGACTGATGGGACAGCGACTAACTCTTTACGCAGAGAACTAGGGGCAGGAGAAGACTAGTTTCTGCCTTGTTTTAAAATCTTGGAGAGGTCTGACGAGTACTGGGCACTTAGCAGATGTGTTCTTTCTCTGATTATCCACATCTTTGCCCTTGGGAAGAAAACCCAGCCCATTGACTTCAATGGGAGTTCTGCTGCTGACTTCAAAAAGGATTTCCCCTTTGGTGCAGAACTTCAAGACAAGCAGGAAGGAGAGACTTGTTTTAGAGCTGACCTGGCAAGTGTAAAGCTTTGGTGTTTGAAAAGTCCCAGGCTGTTTGTTCTACCTGAGATGATGTTTAACATGTTTATTAGGGAATGGCAACTTCCTAGGTAATTTCAGAAGGAAAAAGCAGGACTCTGAATAGGAACAGACTATCAGCATGTCTTGCTGACTGAGTTTACCTGCAATTTGAATCGACGCTCATCTTAATATCCTGTCTGTTCAGAGATATGGCTCAAGAGTAAATCCAGAGTAGTTAAAAGTTGCTTTGAATTAGATGTAAAGCCAGGGAGAGTGGGCCAGTTCACCTGCAAAAGACAGAAAGGAAACCTGTAAACTCAAGGTGACTTGGGCTCTCCAAGGCGAGACGGTTTCTCTTGCATAGAAACAACTCTTTGAACAGCATTAGGTACGATTCCTCTGCAAAGCTACTGATAGATTTCCTATCACAGGGAGCCACCTACCTTGGTTTTCCTTCCAGTAGACTTGATATGAGAGACTTGTTAAAACCTTGGATTTAGTAGGATTACAATGCTGGTTAGAGATTAAAACATTCCCACGAGTGTGAAGATGCAGGAAGCGGGCAGCATGCTGATACTCTTCTTTTTTGTTTTAACAGCTATTTGTCGTCAGGGATGTAGCCCCAAGCACGGTTCTTGCACAATTCCAGGAGAGTGCAGGTAAATGCTCCCTCTCCCTCCTTGCTTCCTCCCACCCCCCCCAAATAATTAAACAAGTGATGCTAAACACAATAGGATTGGGGAGGGAGGGTGGTTTTGGAGTCATGTTTTTGACGAAGGCACATTATTCATGCTGACTTGCCCAGAATAAGGGGGGAGCAGGCTTTTAATGCACTGATAATTTTAAGAAGCTTTTGGTTTGTGAAATGGTGGCACTGGGGGGGAGCGGGGTATGGGATAAATCGTGTGAATGCTGCCTAATGAGCACTAACTAATTGTTTCTGCATAAATAGTGCGAATGTTTTGTGGGTATGTTTTTTTCAACAGCCTGATTAATAGGCTTTTTCAACTACAGGCTTGAAGTACAGCGTGGCTTTTCTCTCCTCTTCTCCCTTTCACTGTTTCCCCCTTCCTCCCTCCCACCCCCTGGTTTCTTCCATCGGTAGGCAAAAGTCAAGCATTCTTTAGAATGGGATTAGTTAAATCTCTCGGTTCCTTTACCATTGTGAGCCAGGCTCCAAGTGCTGAGAGGTTAATAGCTGGGATGAAATCTTGTCAGTAGGCTCCGATGAATGCAGAATTTTGCTCTCGTGCTTTGAAGTCCGTTCTGTCCTGGCAAGGAGATAATGAAAAGCAGAGTTTATCCATAACCCAACGATTAAATATTTGGAATGCCTTAAAATATACAGCGTATATTTGTAGCACAGGGAAGTCTTCTCCCTTACTAATAGAGGGTTAATGAATATTAAATGTGGACATTCTTTATCAACAGACTGGTGGTAAGTTGCTTCGTGTAACCCTTTATCATATCTGTTTACATGCGATAGGGAACTGAGGGCTTCTGAGGTTACAAAATGTTGATATTGATCCTGTGTAGGAAGGGTTAAAAATGAAACTTGGGTATTCACAAATAAAACTTAGAAGGCTGAAGGAACAGAAAATAATTTTTCTGCCTCACAAACGTATTGGTGGATTCCTTATTGTTGGAAACGTTTCATGAAGTGGACTGCTTTTCTTTCTAGATTAGCTGTAGTTTGAGCAAGAACTAAATCTGGGGTGTCTGACGGACTATATTATGTAAGAAGTCAGCCTAAATAGTCACAGTAGTTCATTCTTTCTCTCTGTCCCTGTAATCTATGCTTCAAAAACAAAACAAAAAAAGTCATCAAGGAACATTCTGAAAGTAAGGTAGGAAGTAACTTCTCGTCCTCCACAAAAGACATGGCAAAGTGAAAGTCTGCAGGATGGACTGTCATAGGTTGTTCAGTGATTTTAACGTTTAGCAGCACTGATATAAGCTGGTTAACCCCTAGAATACCAAATCTAAATCTTTACTTAATTAAAAAAAGAAAAAAGCCTAGCAAGTAGTAGGAAGTATCGGGGGGCCAGATGGCGAGAGGAGTGTATCAGTCAAGGCTACCAGTGATTTGTGCTTCTGTCATCAGAATAAACATGCCTTGTAGGGGTTGCTGTCTCCTAGTCAGAACAACAGGCTTTGTTTCCAGATTTTTTTCTTTCTTTTCTCTTTCTAAGTCTCTTACCTCCCACTCACTGCCCAGACATGCACTGGTGCTCTTATTTACTTAAGGTGCAACTTTCCCACGCTTGATTTGCATAGTCTTGAAACAATGCTGTCCTTCTGGTGCTTTCAGATAACTTCTGCTTGCCAAGTTAGACCAATATCTTTAAAGTGAACACAGAAACAAGATTCTATTTTCTTTTAAGTTTTGATGAGTCATATAGCCTGTATGTTATAAATGCAACAGAGTTTAAAAATAACATCCCAGCAGAAACTGCTCTGGGTTCTGGTACAATAGACAACTTGCAAACATTCTTAAAATATCCTTTTCCCTTTTGGTGCAAGTCACTTTCGTTAACGCAGGCCAGCCAACAGAACCATATTTACTCATGAACCCCTATTCAAGGAAAGTTAACTTTAAATTTCTCATGAGAAACTGCTGCATACATATTATTAAACAAAAATTATTACCATGAATCTTTTCCTGGAATTGATATGTAACTTTTTTTTTAAATGCCCATAGCCTTATCCAATTTTGTTACACTTGGAAGCTGATGTTTGAAGAAAGTCATATCTTTGGCTCTAAAGCTCATGGCTTTTTTTCTGTGTGTTGGTTTTTTTTTAATTACTTGTTTCTCTTTACACTTGCTTTAAAGAAAACAAAAAAATCCCACCCCTTTTGATTTGGCAGAAAGGAGTAAAATTATCAATTTGGATACCTGTTTTTGCAGGTGAGGTCCCTTAGTTTTGCTTGTGTGCAAGCTCACAGGCAAGTTGCTTTGAGTGCAATACCAATTAAAAGGGCATGTTCCTAAATTTTGATCTTTCTGCATTCTTATTATATTCCCTATACAGAAGGATTTTCCAAGAGCTACTTGGGAGACGTTGTTTTGCCTGCTCTGGTTTTCTTTCATGTTCTTTGCACACAAAGACACATAAGTTGGACTAGCTTTTTTTTTTTTTAACGCACAAACTAATAAGAATTTCCCATTGACTTTGAATAGGCTGCTATTGAAATAGCTATTAAAAAAAAAGTTAATTAGGATGCAGTTTGTCACCTGAGATTTTTAGAAGGGAAGTCGGACTTACCACTAGCTGTGTGTGATTACCCAATGGATAGATCCTTCTAGCTTTTTCCCATGAGAAGAAATTGCCAGTAGAAGAATGGTGGGGGGTTTTACAAATAGAAAGCTTAGCTGACTTCTGTACAGATGAGATTTGTTTTCATAATTTAGTGACAGCTTAGTGCATAATTGCTGCTGATCAATTGCTCTTAGGACCTGTTAATGAAATACAGTACTTCAACAAAGCCTTGTTTTTCATTTTCAACTTGTTTTCCTTGTTTCTCTCTGTAGATCAACTTTAATTTGAAGAATCCTTGGTCTGCCTTGCTAGTGAGAACTAAATGAAAGCCAAAATGAGCTTTCACTTAAGGGGGCTTTACTTTAAAAGAAATCTTCCTTTTAAGTGAAGAATTCAGGTAGCTCATTAATAGTGGCAATAAATAATTTAAATAATAATAAATTCTTCTCCAGACATGAAATTAAAGTTTCTCAGGATTGGATGTGTTTTAGTTGTTCCCTGAAAAAAGGTTAGCATAAATCAAACTGTGAGATACACTGACAACTGATCTTCTTTGAACACATGTAAAATCCTGATGTGTGCTGTTTTCTTTAATCTCTTACTGTGGCCCAGTCCAAGCTTTCTGTGTACGTCTTCTAGTTCAGAATAAGGTTAGCTTCCGACAGAGCAGAGAACTCCTAATGCTTTGCTACTATCTTCCCGAGGGCTCAGAGTTGGTGTTTATGGTTTTGTTTGTCTTCCTGAAAACGCAGCATGGCTGAAATGCCTGGAGCCTCGTATTCATGAGGATCTCTGGATAACTGTTGTTTCCACTGACTTTTTCTCCCCCCCTCAATTTATAAAGCACCCTGTCAAAGTCCAGAGATTGATTTGTAGTGCACACCCACCCTCTCTGCCACATTTGTATGAGGCTCCAAAAGAGTATTATTGTGCTGAATGGCCTCATGCTGGTTCTCTCAGAACAGTTATTCTTTTGTCAGGAGGTTGGCTACAGAGACCTTGGCAAAACTACTAAAATGTTTGTTTACAAGAAACCATCAAACAAACCTTGAATAGCTTCTCCCCTCCCCTCGTCCTGCCCTTCTCCCCCACCTCCCCAGTCTTTCTCCGAGCTTTGGAGTTCTACGCTCACATCTACACAGAGCAATTCTAACGGGTTCTTGGTTTGTTTCCCTGTTCTGATTTTTTTTTTTCTTTTTTTTAAACGAAGGTGTCAGTATGGATGGCAAGGCCAGTACTGTGATAAGTGCATTCCACACCCAGGATGTGTCCATGGCACTTGCATTGAACCATGGCAATGCCTCTGTGAAACCAACTGGGGTGGTCAGCTCTGTGACAAAGGTATGCTAATCTTATGGATAGCCAAGTGTAACACTTGAATTTTAACACTGGCAGACTTAGCAAGGAGAGAGCACATGCGAGACTGAGTGAGCGAGCCTCCTGAAACACGGTGGGAGTTTTCTGTCCATCAGCTACTTAGCGTTGTGTCCTCTGCTGTTCTGGCATTGTTAGCACATGCGCTTAACTTTTCCCTGTCCTGTCCTACTCTTGTGTGCAGATGTATTCTGTAAAGGCTCTAGAATAATGGAACAAAGCATGCATGTGGTGATGTTTCTATTCTTTTTCAACCATGGCTTTAATGCTCCTCACCTCTTGCAGATCTGAACTACTGTGGAACCCACCCGCCCTGTTTGAACGGTGGTACCTGCAGTAACACTGGCCCTGATAAATACCAATGTTCCTGCCCTGAGGGCTACTCAGGACAGAACTGTGAAATTGGTAAGTGTTGGATGCAGCCGCTGAGCTGCCACTTGGCAGTTAATTCTTGCCAGCTTTTAGTGGCTGGCTTTGGGTATCTTTTATGAGGTTGGGGAAAAGTCAATTTCTAATATTAATTATGATGTCAGGGCTGGCTACAAAGATCCAGACTTGCTTGTTCATGCTTCATCATGAACAGGTGGTATCTCTGAACATCAACCTTCTGCTCACCGGAGAGATCACTACAAGTTACCTTGTCTGGCTCTGACTCAAACAGGTGCAAGTCA